AGTCCAACACACACTGCATCTTATATTCATAACCGGTTGCCGCAGTATGCAATAGAGTATATATCAATTAAATATCGTAGTAGATTTAGAATTACATACTCGTTAGTTAAATACTAACCTGTCGCATTGGTTCATAGGTAGAAAGTAAGAGATGCGGTGTGGGTTCGATTTTCATTAGGGCGTACATATTTCTAAATCATTATACTGACGAGAAGACTGAAAAATTGACGAACGAACTATTCAAGTGGTACCCACCCACGAGAAGTCAAAAGGAATAGACCAGACCAGTAACCAAATGGGAGGACGATTTGGAACATGCAACGGGACCTATGGCAGCACCTCGTTATGAGATACTGTTGAAAAATTTTACTTATAATTAATTTAAATAATAAAAGTTCTAGCTAGTTTTACTTATGAAATAATTTAAGATTTTAAGAATATTGTTGTACACATTACTGTATAAGATAATTAGTTCGTAACTAAATTCATTTCGAAACAAAGAACAATAAACGACAGCCCTTTATTAGATTTGTAAACTGGTTACGTATAAGTTGAAGAAAGTATCGCCCTAACTTGAAATAAATTGTGCGTAATTTTAAATAGGCCGCAAAAAGGTGCACTCGAGTTATGACTAACCTCTCATCTAATTTAACTCGTAAACATTACATTTTAGCCGCAACTCGATGATACTGGAGTACCATTCACTATCTTTATTCAGAGTTTTTCTTTTTATTCCATCTCGTTATTTCCTCCCCACTGACCCCGTTTTCCTCTTTATGTTTCGAGACTTTGTACTTTTAAAGTAACGAAATGTATTAATTAATAAAGTTTTTCATTTTCTGGCAATTTGTCTCTCAATGAGGCCCGTCTCTTGATATTGACTTAACATTCAATTCTCTTATTCAACACGGATTTAAAAGTTTTTAACAAGTCCATTGAAGCCTTTTAAAACTTTTTTTAGGCGTACTGTATTTAACGTGATCCTTTTTAGCTGACATACTTGCCAGTATAATATGCAATACATTTTTCAGTATGTCTCTTATGAATAAAATGCTTCAACTGTTCAAAACCGCTATATATATTCGTTAAACTTATATGAACATTATTTTAACTACGGCCCGACGTTTTGCATGCTTCGCAGCAGCCGTGATCACGGGAGATTTTCTAATAAGTCTAACTGATATATATCGCGTTTTAAACCGTTAAAGTGTTGTTTTAAAATGTCTACTACTCGCGTAAACTGTAACAGTGTTTTTATTTCTTATGAGTTTAATAATTAATAATTAAAACTAAAAGCATGGAAGTTTTTTTGAACATAAAACATTGGTGTGTTTGTAGTATGTATATAATATGTACGTAAAAGCCATGAAATCTAAGAACCAGCACGTCTTAGAACTAAAAATGGACGGCACGTATCGTCTGCCACCTACTCCTGAACAGCGTGATAGATTAAAGGATAGGTTCGGTTCATTTGGAACCCTTAAAGTAACACATTTACTGATAGCAAAATGACGATCCACCAGTGGTTTTAGTGTGTCTTATACAGCCATTAATGGTTATAGTATTGTTAATTTACGCTAAAAATCACTACCCGTATACCCAAATAAAATGTCATTGTACGTAAGCAAAATATACTGTTTAACGCCAGAAGAGGGAAGATAAAATCACTAGGTTCTTATGATGGACAGTGTAAGAGAGATGCGCTATGTTGGCTTTGAAATTTGGTTCTATAATTCAAATGAAGCCTTCATTTGATTTATAGAATTAATAATTGTTATATCATCTACGCTACGCATATAGCTTGTGCTATTAAGTATAGTAGATGTAGATATGGAATGCTAGTGAATGTAGAATGAAATGCTCGGATTTACCCTGCCTGATCGAATCAGATACACCCATCGGATCAGCAAGTTGAAGTGGCAGTGGGCTGGACACATCGCTCGCAGAACTGACGGCCGTTGGGGCAAAAAAGGTTCTAGAGTGGAGACCAAGTAACGGACGTCGAAAACCCGGACGACCTCCTGGCCGACGACCTGGTCAAGGTAGCAAGAAAACGCTGAATTCAAGTAGCGAACGACCGGTCGTACTGGAAGTCTATGGGGAAGCCTATGTCCAGCAGTGGACACGGCACGACTGAAACTATAAACTAATCGCACTTTAAGGTTTACAAAAAGACAAAAATGCTATGAGAACACCAAAAAGATGATGACAGACCCGCACATGATAAAGGTTGAAAGGTTGAAGGTTGAAAATAGAGAAACATGAGAGAAATTGATTAGTCCTTTGAAGGACATCGTGTTGGCTAAGCTGATAATTGGAAAGTGACGGCTGACGACCAAACTTCGTAGTCTACATCCGCAAAGTATTGAATTAGCACCGTTAAGGTGTATGCCAGAATAGACGTTATCTAATAGTAATACGAGCTAGAATTGAATGATGGCGAAAGGTGCGATTCTATTGCTTGTGATATATGTATTACTAAATTAGACTCCCAAGTAGATTTTGAGTTTTTGGAAACAATTCTTAACTTAAATCAGAATAATAAATATAGTACGGTAGATGTACAGATCTCATTTTATCTTCGAGTAAGTAACAAACCAGATGAAAAAGCTGTGAAGTTTAATCGCGTTTCAGTTTCAGTCAGTGGATTTCCGAATATCCAAATCCAAAATAGACCAACAGCGCATCTTGTGGCTCCCATTAGGTGAATCCCATGATTTTCTGTCCTCCTCCATCATTAAAAAAAATGAATTCATCGTTTATTTCATTTGTCGTTTATTGCATTTTATTATAGTTGTCTGTATAAAATTACATTTAATAGTATTTATATTACTGCGTAACTAATGATAATTTTCTTTTAATAATTAAGATGCGCAATTTAAGTCGATTAACCGAGAATCGGACCCCAGGAGATTTGCTGGTAATGATCGATTTCCGTGTTTCGGAAGTCGAATTCGTGTTTAATAAACGAGAATGCCGACTTACTGCAATTATAGAGAGCGTCGTGTGCGGAGTTATTAAGTAGACTCCGTTTTGTTTGTTAGCGAAAGTGTCAGTTAATATTCGAAAGGAAGTTTCTTGATTAGGTACAAGTCTATACAATATTATAAAGCTGAAGAGTTTCGTTTCTTTGCACCCACTAATCTCAAAAACGAATTGAAAAATTATTTGTGTTAGTTGAACTATAAAATAACAGAATGCGGTCAATATTCGACTTTGACAAATGGAATGTATTTTCAATTTGGATAACTAAATCTTTGATTATTTGTCACGTTTTTGTCCTGTATAATAAACCTTTTTGAATCCAATAGTTTTTTTCTTGAAATTTTTAAAGCTAAAAACAAACCATATAATCATAAATATATAGTTATTTTCCCGTGATATGTAATCAATATATTCGTAACTAAACGTCATTAGTTAATATTATGTTAAGCTGGCTGTAAAACAGGTGGCGTTTCGTCAGTAAATATATTCTGGTTTTAATTTTAGCATTCTGAAAAGATGTCTGATTTGAAATTGCACTGAATTGCCATTCGTAGCTTTGACAATGCAAGCATTTGTCCAGGGCGGTAACGGTTTGTAATTGCATCCGTTCTAGACGAGCTGCTCACTTTGCGACACCTTTATACCTTTATACTAGGCGATATACCTTTGACGGCTCTATTTATGTTTTTACTTAATTCTATGTTATCAATACTTTTGATTATCTAAGAGGTCCAAAAATATGGTTGTTATAAATAATTTATGTGTTGAATCCACTTGGAAACTAAAGCAACTGATGGTCTTATGCCAATTCCGAAAAACCCGAAGACGGAAGCCTATTAAATATAATAGACATAACATTTCATTGTTTGTGAGGATTCGTGAATGTCTGTCAATATTTTACTCCTAAATGATAATCATGATCAATTTTGAAAATCATGATTTTAAGCCGACCAACCTTCTGTAATTTTAGGAAAACGAAGAAGAAAAGGAAAGAAATTTACTACTAAAGATAAATCTGGCAAAACTATTCTATAACAGTATGTACCAGGATTGTAGCGGGCAGGTGGGGTCACATAAATTCAATTTAGGCTGAGAGAGGCCTGCAAATTGCGTCGCCGGCGTCAGTCAGGTAACTCTTTGGCCATCACCGCTTCGTAGAATATCCGAAACACTATTTAGACACGTCTGGTCAAAGCGACATCTCGAGTTTTCGATTACGCTTTTTGATTTTAAATTCCGCCAGTGCTTGGCTTTGACGGGACTGATTGCACGTAAGCAAACAACAGACTGACGAAGTACTTTAAAATACGCCATTATTCAGTCTTAATTAAATATAAGGGATCAAACGGCAGGTAATCGGTAAAAAGAATACATAAAAACGCATTTCAAACCGTTAAACTGATAAAAGTTCTGTTAGCGTAGCGTTTGAGTGTTTATCAAAATTACGGCAGTGAACGAAAAAGCGTTAAGAGAAATATTTATACGAATATTTTACCTCGAAGTGACATATTGTGGTTTAAAAATTTGCACGCAAAAGTGGCTTTGAAATCATTTTAAACCATTAATAAAGAGGCAGGCTTCAAAAACAATCACATGACACACGTTGACATGAAATTCTTTTAAAATGTCTGATACTTACAAATGTAGTTTTTGTTTTCAATGTATTTATTTTTATTTTTAAAGTTACGCGTAGATTTTAAGCTCTGTATTTTTTATTTTTAAGTTTTGTATTAATTTCTTTCACCTACCTTGCACAACACATTTTCTTTATTTTCTCTAAAATTTCAGGTTGCCCGGAACAAAACGCTTCTCAGCGATAAGTCCGCCCTTTACACATTCTAGCGCATAAATTGTATGCGTATTATTTTTATTTATTTAGTGACATGAAGAATACATAAATAAATAGTATCAATTAATATAATTGCATTAATAAATATTTAAAAAACTTTGCTTTTAATTGCACATAGAACTCATCAATTATTTGTTAAAATTTGTCTCCAAGTAGGTTTTTTTTATTACACCACAGGAACATCGGCTTCAGCGTACATGATCCTCATAGAGTTTGTATATCCCGTGCCTTGTCTCCAACCAGTTACGATGATTAGAGGATCCCCAACTCGAACGAACCCTCGTTCCATTGCCCATGTGGTGCAGAAGGTAATCCGTTTGTTCAGGTCTACTTGCCAATCAATATCTGGGGCCGCTGAAAATTTGTATATTATTTTATCATAATTCGTAACATTTCATCAGAATTTGTAAAGCTGTTTTCAGATTTTTTTATACTAGCTTTTGTATATATACAAAATAATTCAAACAATCTGGGATATAAAACCATGTACCTTCATATATCAGAGGCACAATACCTCTCCAGAAATGCATCTGTCTGGCAATAGGACCATATCTCGTGACAGCTATAATAGGACACCGTGGTCGAAACTTAGAGATTATGTGTGCTGACTTTCCAGAGGAGGTGACAACTATTATGGCTGCAGCAATACATCGCTGCGCTGATAAAACAGCAGCAATTGCTGCTCCCGTTGCTTGATCGCACGGCATTGGCGTCTGACAAAATATATAGGTTAGAGGAATGGAAAGCGAATTTTGCGATTTTGTTAGTTTCCGGGCTCGTCGATCTATTGATAACAATGCATAGCTAATAATCAAGGGGCTGTGGGTTCGGTCCCCGAGGTTATTTTTGTGAAATCCGGATAGTAAATATATGGTAGAAATATCCAAAATTTCGTCCAGATACCGTCCAACGTCCACAGTGTCCGTTTCAGTCAGTTGATTTCAGATTATCCAGAGTCAAAATAAGCCGGCAGTGCATCTAGTCTAGATGTTATATGGCTGGAGAATTTCACCTTTTACCAAATGAAAGTTAGATCTTTCACTTGATAATAGTTTCCCATGTTTGTCTGTGCTCCTCTATCATAAAAAAGGAGAAAAAAATTATGTTTACCAGCATATGAACTTTCTTTATAACTAGAACCAACTCAACAATAGTTGCCATATTCTGCATTTAAGGCACATATTTTTATTTTTTACAATTCGTGATTTAAAGAACTATAGTAAAAATAACTACTATACTGTAAGTGCTTAATTACAGTGAAGATTTACAAAATAATTCGAAATACACACACGGAACAATATAAATAACGTTATTCCGTTCAGCTTAATGCTTATTTATGTGTTCAGAAGTAATTTATTTTTGATGCTCTTTGTGTACAGCGGCTGATAAAAGAGAATCCGAAAATAATGACATCAAAGATGGAGTGTTATTGGATTAAAGTCTGGTTTATATTAATAATACCTTTTTCTGACCTTCGCAATAGATAAAGAATATGTGATAACTATTTCTGATAACTTTTCTAAACTAACAGTGAAAACTTGAACTTGACTTAAAACTGACGTAACGATTATTATGTAACAAAGTGTTTTTTTCCAGAAGAAGTTATAATTGTAATTCGAAAATAAACATGGTTGCTTCGATATTATTACGTTGATACCACCTGTTATATTAAAACCAAGAACTACCAGGATAACAGATAATTCCAGGATACGCACGATTTCAGATAAGCAGGTTTATTAACCACGCAGAATACTCAAATAAATTTCTATGCACTAAATATTTTATGAAAATTGAAAACTAGGACATTAGAACGAACAAAGACATTACTTACCTTATCGACAAAGTCATGAAAGATTTGCTTCGACCACATACAAGCCTCTGCCTCCTTGCAAGTCGTAGCGAGACATGCAACCGTGTCTATCGGATACTGTCCGACGGCTGTTTCAGCTGAGAGTACTAGGGCGTCAGCGCCGTCGAGGATACAGTTCGCGATGTCTAGCAGTTCCGCTCTGAGGGGCACTCTTTTGTCTCGCATACTGCTTAGGAGATGTGCACTTAAACAGACTGGGACGTTTGCCTATAATGTTAATATTAAAAAATCTAAAATACTAGGAACCCAAGTTGTCCAAGAGTTCATAATTTTTATAAGCATTACTTTTTTCAGATAATTGAGGCCGCTAGAGGCAGAGTAGCCTAACTGCAACTTTATGACTTGACTTATTTGTATTTTTATAGTCTAAAAAAATTATCTACAAGAGCACAGTGACCGGATTCCTACTTGTTAAAAACATTTTTTTTTGTTATTAGGCCACTCTGACTCTAGAAGCCTCAATTATTTTCATTTATTTTGTTTACTAGCACACTAAAGTTAGCACAAAGTGTTATTATAGAAAAACCGTTGTCTATAAACAAAATATATTACAGCATAATATAAAAATTACTTTTTAATATTTTATTGGCTTTATTACCTTATTGGCTCGTGCAATCATATTTTTCTGGGCGATAACTAACTTTTTGGGTGTAATGTCCGAGCCAAGTTCCTGCCTCGTTATCATTATTGCATGAACATCCTGGAACAATAAATAATAAAGAAAAATCTTATTTTTTGTCTAAATTAAATTTAATACTGTCTGTAGTTTACGCGAGTAGTACACATTTAACTTACAAAATCCAAAAAACAATAAAGGATATTAAACTACCGGTATGTTGACGGCCTATGTAAAATAGAAATGTAGTTAATGAAAATTGGATCTATGTTTAAAAGTTTCTTATCGTTTTGGTAAATAGTTATAGGTAACTTTGTAACCTTAGGTGTTTGTATATTATTAATTTTTAAAGCATGACAAGTTAATAACTATAATATAATTCGAACATACTTACCACAGACAAAAACGATTTCATTTCAATGAGGAACTCGCGAAATATTTTCCAATATTATAAATTTATAAGATTATCTATAAAAACTTTTTACCTAATGATATTTTCCTAGGATAGAGATAGAGTTGACTAGTTTCATTAAAAGGACGCGAAGTCCATTAGTTGGCACCACAGAATACTAAACACGTGAAAAATTGACAACGCAATTGGATGGGAGGCATTTACAGCTACTCCGAATTGGAGTGGTTTGACAACTGACAAATGCATCCATCGACTTGTTTATTACTATACAATATAGTATATATCATTATGTAAGCAGTGTTTAATAAAATTGTGAGTAGGTGGTAAACAGCGCGCTGCGTAAAATTATGATCGAGTTCTTCTGGTTTGTTCAGTATTCTGTGAATGGCACTTACCGCAAGAATCTCGTCCAAGTTGCGGAAACCCTCAATAGTTTGGATGTTGGCGACAATAGCTATTTTCTTTCCCTTCTCACCCATTAAACTCCTGAGTTCAGTAATCGCGTTAAGCGAGTACGACGCGACAATGAAGTCCAACTGAAGCATACAAACTTTTTTTCACTAAGAAATCGAAAAAATTGTCCAAATCTATTAAATTCGTTCTAAGGGACACAAGGTCTGATAAGAGCCACCACGCTGCCACAGTGCGGGTTGGCCGGCTTTAATTGTGTACTTCTACTATCACCCAATATCACCTAAACTTTACAACCTAACTAAGACCGGCTTACGTACGAAACGTTAAAGTTTCCGTTATACCAGGAACGCATAAATGTAAGGAATAGAAAATATTCTAATTTATACTACAAATCTTGGAAAAGTATGTTTGGTATAGAAAGATTTCTAGTACATTTTTAGTAGGTTTTGGTCTTATGAGATGCATAGTTTTAATATAAATAAAGTGAAGCATGTACGCTGTGGTCGTAGCTTCGAGTATTGTCCATAACATTTTATTTTCAAGGTAAAGTAATCAGTGTGAAAACGTCTTATCGCTAAGAAACAATTTTATCAAAATATATTAAATGAATACCTGGTTACTTATAGCCATAGCAATGTACTCCTTATCCCTATCAGAATAGTTCGGCATATCAAAGCTTACATTAGGTACAAACACATCTTTAAAAGAGCCGAGATCACCCCCCCTCTCGATCTTGCAAGTAAGTGTTGTGGCCGAAATAAATTCCACTCTCAACATTATTGTTTCATTATCCAACAACACATAGTCGCCCTTGCTCATCTGATCAGCGAAATGTATAAAGTCCACATAGATCGTGTATGTCGAACACCTGTCCTTATACGTCTCGTCTGTAGTCAGCCTTACAGTCTCTCCAGTTCTTAATTCCACCGTCTCCCCGTAACTCTGGAAACGATCCAACACTTGGAATTTAGACGCAGACTCACTTATCTTGCAATTAATTTATCTTGTTAACTTAATATTCAAGGAACTTTAAAATATGCTGAGTTGATTAGAGGTTTAATTGAAAGTAAAAATCGATTAGTATAGGATTTCACTTATACTATACCATTAGTTAAGTCTTCAGTTTGAGAATATTTGAAAGAATTAACTAATAAATAATAAGAAACCAGTGCATGCATTCCATGTAGTCTACGGGTTCAACGTCAAAGTGTAAAAGAAAAAAAAAATTACAGATACTGCTGAAGTGATAAACCCTAAAAACAAGGAGGTATTTGACAAATTCTGCTGTAGTTTACGCGGGAAGTACACATTTAAACAAAACACTTTAACGGTTTAAAACGCGATATGTTAGTTAAACTTATTTTAAAAAATATTTTTAACTTCGACCTGACGTTTCGGATGCTTTGCAGCAGCCGTGGTCACGGGGAGACAAATAACAAGTATGTATTTAAATACTGTCGCGAGAAGTACACATTTAAATAAAACACTTAAACGGTTTAAAACGCGATATATACTAATTAACTAATATATATTGCGTTTTAAACCAATAAAGTCTTTTATTTAAAGCTATATGTTGTCGTAGTATTCATCTGTAGTTGATTTTAGGCATAGTACTCTAAACGGCAGAATAAATATAACTATAGCATACATACACTTTTTTCACAGAATGAGATTTTTCTTATCATCAAAGTTTTAAAGTGGAATAGCGAAGTCAAAGGATATAAAAACAAACATACATCGGCAATAATCCCTGTTCTAATTTTGCGTCCGCTAAGTTTAATACCGATGGCTAAAGGACAATTTCTTCCCATTGTACTGCTGTAGTTCTTCGTCGCCTGTCGAAGCAAAGTTATCGCTGCTAGATGGTCATCCTTTGTACCGAAGTTTAAATTCAACAACGCCATATTCATACCGCTGGATAACATTTTCTCTAAAACTTCTATGTCGTAAGTTGAAGTACCTAAAACGGAAAGTAAATATAAGTTCAAAAAATTGCGCTCTTTTTTAGGTTCGACAGACAATGGTAGCAATGGCTAATAATCAACGGGTCGAGGGTTCGATTCCCAATGGTTCCAACATGCTACTAATTTTTCTGAAACATGTTCGTCTTTGTCTGAAAATATGGATATTAAATGGGTGGTTATATCGAAAATTCCGTCCGGATCACGAACCACCGCCCACAGATGAAAAAGCCGTGAAGTTTAATCGCGTTTCGGTTTTAGCCTGTGGATTTTTAAATAAAACACTTTAACGGTTTAAAACGCGATATATTAGTTAAACTTATTTGAAAATGATTTTTTAACTTCGGCCCGTCCTTGGAGAATTTACTGGACCCGACCAGTTTCGCCAAATACCTACTTCGACGGAACAGATGACGCTAGCAATTAGCAATTTTTTACTTTGAAGTAAGAAACATCTTACATCTTTAGTCTCCCCGTGACCACGGCTGCTGCAAAGCATCCGAAACGTCGGGCCGAAGTTAAAAATCATTTTTGAAATAAGTTTAACTAATATATCGCGTTTTAAACCGTTAAAGTGTTTTATTTAAATGTGTACTACTCGCGTAAACTATAGACAGTATTTAGTCTTTGTATTTCCGAATAACCAAAGCCAAAATAGGTCAACAGCGTATTTTATGTAATGTATGTTTGTGAGATGTAATGTATTTCACCCCCCATAAATTGCTTGTCAGTGCTCCTATCATTAAAAAATGCGCAACTGAAATAATCTTTCTATTACCACTAGGACCTTGGAAACACACCACAAAGAGATTAACAAGGTTAGCTATATAACTTACTCGCTCCGCTGGTATAGAGACCCAAAGAGAATCTTAGCCTCTAAGACTACAGAAAAGAGCTACAATAATTTTAGAAAGATTAGTATAATATCTTATTCCGAACATATTCATATGAAAAACCAGAACTAAATAATCGTGGTGGCTATTAATCTACCTCTCCTATGAGAGTGGGAACCCCGGCCCACGTGTGGGACAGCAATAGATTGAAACAAAATACCCATAGTGGCCATAATTCCTGTCAGCCTTTGACATCCCGGGGGTGCTTTGATATCAAGGTTCAGGACGTGGTCCAGCGGCGTATACGCATGTGTTGCTGAGAGCTGCTGTCCTGGTAGTTCCATTGCGTCATACTGAATAATTTACAATAATGGGCTTTCAAAAAATAAACCATTTTTTACTAAACATAATTGTTTAATCCATTATTGAATTAAGACAGTATTTACTGATGTACTTAAGTTGAAAGGAAAATATGTACTTGGTTACCATATTTAGTGAAAAGGTAGTTTAAAATTATTAATTACGTAAATCGTAATATATTTTTAAAATTTTCAGGAACATATAAACAGTTCCTTCAATTATTAATTAACCTAAAATTTAATCTTCTAAATCTATAAATTAATACTGACTTCACCAAGTTTTACGTCCAATTCTGATGGCCACACCATTATCACGGCTTAGTGTAAATTATTCCAAACTAATAACTATAGCATTAAAAAAAACATAAAACGAAAATAATTTTATCTTAAAATGTTTTTCTGTCAAAGAATACTTTATAAGAAATAGACACGAGTTTTATGACATTTACTGAAAGATCATACAGAATATATATTCTAAAAAGATAAAAAGAATATTCTTTTTATCTTTTACCTTCTATTAACCTAACTGCGTTCAACAAATGTAAAAAGTGCATTAAAAATGTGGAAAATGTAAAAAAAACAAAGAAAATTATATAAAAAAAAACAAAAGATATGTATGTAAGAATGATTCTACTTTCAATTATTTTTTAGTGATGGAAGATGAAATGGGGCCGTATAACATACACACAAGATGCGTTATCGACCTATTTTGGCTTGGGCTATTCGGAACAAATCTAAACAAATGTTCCCAACAGTATATATCTATCTTTTAGATTGACTCGCAAAAACCTTTTCTAAAGTAATCAAATATGATCGAAATTAATGCAATTATTATCTTGCAAACAACAAAACAACGTTTGGCGAATCAGCTAGTTTAAGATTAGCGTAGAATTCATCTCATTTAGCAAGAGCCCTAAAAGTTACAGAAAAACAAACTTTTCATAATAATTAACTGGAGGCTTCATCTTAGATGTCACGATTCAAGTTAAGCGGTTTCGTAAACAAAAAGAGCCATTGCTAACAGCGCGACGCCGGCGTAAATAAACAAGTCTAGCAAAAATAAACAAAGGCTTGCCTTATTTGTGGGAAAACCATTAGGGGATCAAAACGAGGATTGAGATAAATAAAAAAATAGGGAAACTCGGACGCTCCAGAGGGTTAACCCTGACAGGGATCGCTACAAATCTTTATGCTGTGAGAATTGTTCGCGAAACAAATCAAATCTTCACTGTTGCAAAAGAAATACGACAATAGATTCCCAACAATTTTCTTAGGACTTACCCTTTTGCTGACCTATCGGTGTCTAGTACTTTTTGCTTACCGGTTCGTTGGTTACGTGGTATTTAAAAGAGAAGGGAAAGCAATTACACAATAACATTTAATAAATATGTATCTCACGTGTAAAAAAGGTTTTTTTTTTTAGCAATCAACAATTTCACTCAACTTTAGCAATCCCTGTTAAACAAATAACATTTATAGAATATTATAACGAAGTAGAATAAGTAACATTAACACTATTGTTTATCACTTTATTAAAATTAAATATTAAATTCACTAAAAAACTTTCAATACGGTAATCATATTTGTTCTTATCTTCACTCCGGGCATCTGCAAGATAGATAAATAAACACCAGGTTTTTTATAACTGAACAACAAAACAAAGCATATTTGATGTAATGTTTTTAATTTCCACTTACTCAACAAGAAGTTTCTTGGTGATACTGACTTTCCACACCCTCACCATGTCACAAAACGAGCTGTCTTCCGCTCCTCGTTGTAGAGTGACATACGTATCTCCGTATACCACGTAGCCTCTCTGGACTACATATTCTATGGCAAAGTGGATTTTGTCCTCGACCGCATCATGCCAACTTTTGGCTGCTGAAGCTCTGCTTTCTACAATTTATACTTAATTTTTAACAGTATAAACATCACAAAGGTTTAATAGCTTAGATGCCCTAGAGTATCGTAAGTAATGATTATCAAGATAGATAGCTCATCATGTTATTCAAGACACTTACCTTTGTACATCAAAGGCATCACACTTCGATAAGTATGAAGCAACCTGAACACATGAATTCTGGTGCTGACCGCGATCACGATGCAGGATGGTCTCATCAAGTGTAGGGCTTTTATGGTCTTTCCGGAGACAGTAGGCATTATTATGATACGGGCGTTGGTCTGATTCGCGACGAGAGAGCAAGATAGCATTGCTGCTTCCGCTGCGTTGCAGGGAATTTTTACCTAAGAGAAAGAAGAATATAAATGATCTTCAAATTGATTGATTAGTTATGCAACGCATAAAAAACATTATATGTATAAAACATAACAGTGATAAAATTACCAGGAGAGAAGCAACGTTAAAGATATTAATTTAGTTGGTCTCTAATGACTAGATTATTATTAAAATCTATCTGTGAAACTGACATAGTGTAACGGATTCGATCTCCGGTCGGGTAATAAAATATTAAACTTCAAAAATAAAACTAAAAAAGACTATTTAATTAAAACACTTTAACGGTTAAAAACGATATATTAGTTAAACTTATTTGAAAATGACTTTTAACTTCGGCCCGACGTTTCGCGTCTATCGCTAATATAGCGTTTTAAACCGTTAAAGTGTTTCATTTAAATGTGTACTACTCGCGTAAACTATAGACAGTATTTAAAGAGACTATTTCAAATAAAACTTAATAACTTACCTCATCTAGAAGCCTCCAAAAGCCACTACGACTCGTTATAATTGGTTCCACGAAATAACAAGTCTCGTTGATCGCATACAGAACCTCCAAAGTATTGGCGACGTTAAAACAATCTCTCAGAATAAAACCGCTAACGCCATCCATGAGAGCGTTTACAACATCCGCTATTTCGTTGTCGTGGAAGAGGCCACTGTATAGAGCATCTTTAAATACTCCACCGGAGAGATAGAATGGTTTGCCAGCCTGAAAATCGTTTTTTGTTTGAATAAATAGCCATGGCATGAAGCTACTAGGCAATAAGAAATTAATTGGAAATGTATTTTATAAATAAAGTAAATTGATCAGGACAACAAGTTGACCACACTAGACCAGAGTGTCTTCTGAGTTCAATTTCATTTTGTGTCATTTTTGTTATCTGTCATGTGTTTTTGTGTAAATTAAACGAAATTTAACTATAAACACGGTTTCATTATATTTCGGCATTATACATATATGTCTATGAGAATTAATATTGACTTATTACATGGTAAGTATATAATTATTCTAAGTAATTTAAACAACGTGTAGAAATCGGAATCAAATTCTACCGCTTAAAAATGTTTATGTATGTCGCTACTTTATATTAATTTTATGGATATTGATTTAAACACAATGTTTACAGAACAATACCTGGTTTTGTAAAATACTATGTGTTTTTGTTATTTTAGCCTAGGGATTGAATTAAAAAATACATACCTCCAAACATTTTCCACTTAACCACTTCTGAATGTGAGGTAATCGAAATTTTTCGGACGCTTCAATTTCGAATGGCAAAAACTCTCTCGAAAGTATTATTCCGTCGGATTCCTGTAAATTGTATGTTTCAGAATGAAACAAATATTAAACTAACAGTTAACAACTGTGTGTAAATAGGATTGTTGGAATAGGAAAGTATCTATCGAAAAAAAGATGATTATAAAAAATGAACAGACAGTTGAAATAAAACACTTCTAATGGCTTGAAATGCAAATTTATCAATTAATTTATTTTAAATTTCAATCCGTAGATACTATTGAGCGGTTAAAATAAAAATCAACGAGTACGTTTCGTATTTTAAACTCTAAAAGTAATTATATTTCATGTATACCTCGCAAATAAAATCTGAACTACTTATGTTATTGTTACGTCATTAAATATGTTTATAATTTGCTTTTTGAAGGCACTATAGGATAATATTAGCTCCTAACTATAATTTATAAAACATAATTTGTTATATAAATACGTAACTTCAAATAGTAAGATCTCGAAATAACTAGAACGAAAGCAGTTTCGAAGGGGCATATACAAGGGTTCAGCTAGAAAGCCAAGTTGGGACACAGCTCGAAGTTAGAATCCATGTTTAACAGGACGTAACAGCTAACTCTGACCTCTTCACTCTTGTTACTTGATCGCTATCTTGCAAGAGACAGGCGAGTTGCATTTATATAGAATGTTATATTACATTGTGTTATATTACATGCCATTGTTCAAAGATTTGAATAAAAATTTGTCAGTATACTTTGTCTAATATAGGATGATAATAATCCTGTAAACTCTCACCTTAAACACTGTCTTTAGTTAACGCGAGTCGTACAAATTTAAATGAAACACTTTAACAGTTTAAAACGGTATATATTGGTTAGACTTATTTGAAAATTGTTTTAACTTGGGTCACGGGGAGACACTGCTTATTTTTCAAGTAAGTTTAACTAATAACCGTTTGAGTATTTAAAGTGATTTAAAAATAAATAACAGTTAAACGTGGATATTTCATCGTAGTACATAACACTATCTTAAAAGAACACACGTCGTAACTTAATGGCTATTAAAGTTTAAGCTTACATTTAAAGAGCGAGAAGTACTTGATTCGTATAGTGGCGGAATATAATTGTTTCTAAATATATTGCTATACAAATTTGTCCGTTAAACGAACGGGAAACGGAATTTTACTCTATTATTTAAAAAGAAATAAATTCCATTACACATATTAGACTAAATAGAAGTAAATTAATTACTTTTATAATTTCATCTATATTCTTCAGCCCTTCTTGAGTACAAATACCACAGAATATTAACGGCCGGGAATATTTTCCAATGAATTTCTTTATCTCGCTCAATGTTTCCACGCGTCGAACATAGTTGACTATGATCATGTCCACCTGTTACATAAAGATAGCTAGCAGTGAATGGCTAATAGACCGTCGTGAGTTCAATGTGAGTGAATTATCCAAGCCATATAACATTTCCACAAGATGTGCGGTCGACCTATTTTGACTGGGTATTCAGAGATACAGACTGTTTTAGTGTTGACTGTTGGTAACATGACCCATAAAGAATTTTCGATGATTCAAATAAAACACTTAAACGGTTTAAAACGCTATATATTAGTTAAACTTATTTGAAAATGATTTTTTTACTTCAGCCCGTACTAAAAATCATTGTTAAATAAGTTTAACTAATATATCGCGTTTTAAACCGTTTAAGTGTTCTGTTTAAATGTGTACTACTCGCGTAAACTATAGACAGTATTAAATTTTCGATGATTCTACAACAGATTTAATATCTAGATTAAGTCCAACATGTTAAGAAATTAATTAAGAAATATGTTGGATCCGGTGGGGATCGAACCTGTGACCCAGAGATAATTACCGATATATCAGGCCAACGAGCCCATCACCATTTGCCTTACCTGATACCTCAATGCAAATTTAACAATATCTAAATCCTTCTTAGTTATATGGGACTGTTTGTGCTCCACGCCTCTTGCGCATACATTACAAACATTTCTCAAAGAACCGCCCTTCACTACGACACATTTGATTCGTTCCTGGTCGAGAACAGCTTCACATTTCAGGATTATTTCATCAGATCCAATTGATATCTCAGTACCCGGCGTTATATCTTTAGATAGAGTCGGATTATCGACGAATATCTTTCGCTCGTTACATTTATTGAATTCGGAAAACCTGCAGGTCAGAATTAGGCGAGCTCCTTCTTTTATGGAGATGTAATCTGCATTCTGTAATTAAAGAAAAATATTTGTGTATTTAATGTATTAAAAATACCTTGAAATAAAAGGTAAACCTTTTCATATCATCGCTTGAATCTGCTATAAATAAATGAAACAAAGTACAGTGTCATTTTTTATCAATTGACACATAATATATCATATACATAATCTGTACTTATATATGTTTTAAGGTATATTAGAAAAAAAATCATTGTTTAGTTTCTAATAGGATTTGCGAAAAAGACCACTTTCTGGAAATAGCTATAACTACGAAACAGATGGCGCTAGCATAGCACAATCTCCTTTGACATTAGAACGCCCTCCCTTTTTAGTCGCTTTATGATTACAGCTGATACAAGTCTCCAAAAGGTCGGGTCGCAAGTGAAACAGTTTACAAATACAATTCGTGTTTTAAACCCTTAAAAGTTGGAACTACAAATTAAAAGCGGATTTAAGATTTAAAAAAATTACCTTACACGGTTGGGTTTGAGTTCAACGCTCATAGAACGCTGTACCAGTTGGTACAGCGTTCTATGTTGTTGGCCTGACCAATTGATGACCTACATTTTTTTTAAGTCTACACATTAGAAAGTAAAAGTTAATCTTAAAGTACTGTTGGCAGGTAGACAAGATAATTACACTCTCAAGCAATCCAGTCTTCACTATACAAGTCTTCAATTCCACACAAGTGGCTACTGGCCAGTCCAGTACTCCGTTTTTGCGACAGCAGGCCAACGCAGCTTTGTCTACACGGCCCAGCATCCGAATTTTATCGCCTTTAGTTGTGAACGACATTTTAAATTTCACAATATTCATACCGGCTTCCAAGAGTTTCTGAATTTCTACTGTTGCTATCTGGTTGTCAGCTGAAATAGATCAGATTATTTATTTAGGTAACTAAACAAAGCTTATTAATTTGAGCGAAGTAACAGTGGGAAATGTGGAACAAACGAGGAAAATTATTCAATGATTGTGGGTTCCCAGGCGTGCGCTGCGAAAACGGTTCAAGATACCCAAAAAATATGTGCGAAAGAATTCTTCTTTATGATCTTAAAAAATTTTTTAAGACTAATTTGCAAAAACGACGGGATGCGAACGATTTTTGTTTATTAGGATGAAGTTTGCAAAAACAAATTTTAATACAGCTGTGTTTAAACAGTGTATTTACTCAGAGACAGTTCCTTAACAAGAAATTACTATAGACTTATACACGTACAGTATATTTTTATATAATAAGACCTACCATCATGTGAAACCCATGCTAACCTGCCCTCCTCTATCACAAACCACGAAGTAACATGATCAGGACAACTATCATCAGTATACAAAGGAATGTGTTATCACCTTTTTTCTACTACACTACTACTGTCTACTACTTATCTTGTTTTCAAGATACTTAGTAAGGAAATTCATTTACATAAGGTAACTATAACAGGGCATCTTCTGAAGCGATTGCAAGGTCTCTCCAAGATATTCGGATCGCTTATATCGACGTCATTAAACTTTATGGTCTCGGGAATTTTTTCCACCATCTCTTATAGATTAGATTTAAAAATTGTACGTAAAATTCAATAAGTAGCAAAATATAAACCTTTACTGACAGACCGTCAGTGGTCACACGGTCAAGTGTCATACTATGTTTATCATCTGTCATCTTCAAATGCTTCTGGCAGGTGTCGAAAAACAGGCGCTGTTGTTGGTTGTAATTCCTTGTATCCTTGCTAATATTATAAATGCGAAAGTTACTCTGTCTGTCTGTCCGTCTGTTACTCTTTCACGCCAAAACTACTGAACGGATTTGAATGAAATTTGGTATACAGATGGTCTAGACCCTAAGAAAGAACATATGACTTTTATTTCGAAAGGGGGTGTAAAGGGTTAAAGAAGGGGGTGAAAAGTTGTATGGAAATTCGTAGTTTTTTTAAGCTAAAACCATAAAACTTTCTTCTTTGGCTTTTTGGGATAGGTGGAGTAGAGTGGTGAGTGTGGGAATTAGAGCAGGAGTCATGTGAGGTAAGAGTGTTGCGGCAAAATAGCACTTACAACATAGATTGGCTGCCTTAAATGCGCCCTTACATAAATTAATAAACAAACAAGTCACTATTCCACTCGGACTAAGTTGCGGGCATAGCTAGTTATGAGATAAAAATTATCTACTGTTACTACTACTAACATAGTGGATCTATTTACAGACAAACTTGAGGTGCATTTGATGGAAGATGACTCGGCCAAATAACATCTTAACAAGATGCGCTGGTAGAAAACAACCAAATTTAGTACCGCAAATTACTTCTTATTTTTTTTGTTACGTATATTGTCGGCGATAAGCCACGTGTTTCGTGTTTAGAGTCCATCATTATGAAAAGGCACACATAATGCATGTTCGTCTAACTTCGAAGTGTGTTTTACAATATTACTAATAATTATAGCCAACTGCAATTGCAAACACAATTTAAATGTTAATATGATAATATTTATTATTTAATTATTCCATACTGATTAGGCGTCCATAAATAAGGAATAAATACTTTTTAACAGGTATTGACATATCTCTGACATCATCAGAGCGAGTTAACAATCAGTAACCCGGAGGGAATGCCTAGAAATAGACACCGAATACAATGATTTTTCCGAACCCAAGTTTTTCCATAATTCATCGAGCGTTCCCATAGGAATAGGTAGTTTGATGTCGTTGAGATCGCTGGCAGAACTTCGGCGGCAACAGGGAATAAAGGCTGTACAAAAGACTTTTACTAAGAACTTACTAAGAAACAGTATTATTTACAGAAACCAAAGAGTTTTTGTTACGATCGATATTAAAAACTAAGGCATCATTTTCATCTTGGCCTCAAGAATAAATAAGAAAAATCGCATCTATAACATCTTCTTGCAGCACTACGCATTATAATTTGCTATTGACCTATTTTTGCATTTCACATTCGGAATTTCAGTTATTAAGTAGTATAAGAATTTTAACTACAGGGTCAAGGGAACTTTAACCATGGATTTTATATTTTTGATGTTTTCTTGTTTGCCCCTTTTAAACAATAAAAATACAATAGGTTCGTAGATTAAAAAACGATTTTAAATTGAAAACAATTATGACACGGGCAGGACCTAAATCGGCATACACAGCGCTCCGTGGTGTCGCTCGTAACCAACTGAGCTACCGTGTCCTACAAAACGTCGTCGATTTTTTCAACCTATAGGTACATGCACCTCTTTCGCAATACCCCCTGTCCACGTATTTTATTATCTATTGGAAATCGAATTTTAATTTCTATAGTCTTGTGCAAAAAAATGTAACAAGTATTAAAAATTATCAAAGCTTCGTAGAATTGAACTGTTAAACTTGTCATCCCATTATAGACGAGATAACGCTACGTAAAAATTACCGGGCAATGTCTGCACTCTTAACTTATGAATTAGACGGGTTTGTTGGTGTGATGGTAACAATGTACACCTAACGGGTCTAATAACGGGTCGCGGGTTCGAACCCCACCGGGTCCAACGTTTGTTTATATTATATATATTTTATAATTTTTCTGAAAATTATTGGACTTCGTCTGGAAATCTGGATATTAAATGAGTGTTAATCATATCGAAACTCCGAAGTCACGTCCACAGATGAAAAGCCGTGAAGTTTAATCACGTTCAGTTACAAAATATCTAAAGCCCAAAAGGTCAAGAGCGCATCTTGTTTAGATGCTATAGGCTATATTTCACCTACTAAAGACCATCCTTCCGTCCTTCTCTATCATAAAAAAAATAGAGCGAGCAAATAGTTTTCTTAAAAATAAATTTCGCAAGATACAAGGCACGCGGTCCCGTAACTAAAAATCAACATTGTCACGACGCCCCTTGTTTGTCCATTAGCCTGCTGCGACAGAGCAAACACCACGACTCCTTGCTATTCTTTTGTTACAACTGATTTTCCAACGGCTTAATAAAACGCTTGTATTGTTATGTCTCGGGTTTAATGCCTCAATCTACTACTGAAACACAAATACTATTAAGGCTCTCTAATCTTATGATACCTTAATGCTTAATATGTTTTACATATATATTGCAAAATGTTTTTTACACACAAACCACGATTACTAAACGATTTTTAATGTTACAGTACTATAGTCTCCATGTTAAAGTTGTACCATTTCAATTTTAATTGAAAATTGTTAGGCAACGCTAATCTATGCTAATATTAAACTTGAAGAGTTTGTTTGTTTGTTTGAGCTCGCTAATCTCAGGAATTACTGGTTCAAATGGAAAAATAAATTGTAAAATATTAAGCTGCGACCAATAGAAGAGAAGAAACTGTAAAAAATGTGGAAAAAATGGGGAAAATATTCATTTTTGAGAGTTTCCGCTGCGAGCGCTGTGATTGGGTTCCAAAAAATATGTATAAAAGATGATTTTTTCTTTAAGTGATCTAAAAATGTCCGCAACAGTATATGTCCATCTTTTTAGATTAACTTACAAGAACGATGGGGCGCAAACGACGTTGTGGGTAGTGCGATAATCTATAAAATTGATAAGGTTTGCAAGAACGAATTTTGATGCCCAAAGCTTTCTTTATGCAGCAAAAAACAACTATTTTAAATTAAGTTTATTACGTACAGAAATATCGTGTTAAATTCCGAATTTATAATAAAACCTTAAGCTTTTATTATGTGTGTCTGCAAAATAAAAGCATTGGCCATTCCCAAAAGTACTCGGGAGCGTGTTTGGGAAAAATATGACGTGTTGGCTTGGCCAATTGCCATATCCAGATTTGGCAAATTTAATCCGATTTGGTCTTTCGAGAGAAGCAAATAAAGTTATTTAGGAGTTAACTGGACTAATGTAAAATAAATGAAAAGCTTTTAGAGTTTGATTAAATTTCACTAGGTCCACGTCTTTCCTGGATAATAATTTCATAATTATTTACTTAGTATAATATCGACCAGAATTCTTTTGATACACTATATGAAATTCTATATGATTATTTCTATTATATTTTTATGATTTTACCTAACATATTTCACGGTTAATTTATTCGCGATTTAAATGCTTAAAAGTGATTTATTTCAATGTGTATTACTTGCGTAAAATACAGATTGCTTTACGAGATTTACAGTACTTCTATGATATTTATCATCTCCATATAAAAATCTAACAGAATTATTCCTTTCCGATTATTTTACAGTAATATTCATAGTCTTATGTGGATATTATTTCATCATATTGTAGTGTATATTGTCTTTGTTATTGCACTGACTTATGAAGAAAATTCTTATTATTTTATAGGTTAAATATGACATAGGTGTCTAAAAAATCTAGATTTTTGAACATCATATAATTTTGATATAAGTCGTTTTTATCAAAATACGCGAATGATCTATGTCATAATTCTTATCTTGTTTTGTCGGCCCAACGGCAGAAGTCACAGTGAGTTATGTAGACTCATTAGTTTGAAATTGAAGTTTCTTAGCGGTCCATTAGCGTGGAGTTGTTAAGGGCGAGCTGGGGGACAAAGGAGTCCTTTTTCGGGGATTCATGAGCTTAGGATGTTGCGTAATGAGGATTTCTAGTGGAGTTTATGTCGCAGGTCTATCTTTTTTCTGTCTCTGGAGGACAAGCCGTCCATTTGATAGAAGGTGGACGCTATCAACTTTTTTAGATTTCAAACCCTATAAAAACTGAGAGAAACAGAAAACAACAAAAACGTCTATAATCCAACAAAGTTAGCTAGTACTTTGTCTTTTGGTATACATTATATATCGTGTGATGAATTTCATGATATATACAAGAAATTAATGGTCATTGCGTTCACCGAACGTATGACCGGTCTTAACTGCGGGTAGTTCGTGAATTCAAATCTTGCTTGACTTTTTTTTATTAAAAATAATGTCTTAATGGGACATTGTATAAATTGTATTGTATTTATAATGATACATTAATATATAATAGTTTGGAATAAAAGTGAAAAAGCAGAAAATATCAGATGCTTTCTCTATATCGCTATGCAATAATAATAAATTCGATTTAATTCTAAAAATACTTAGTGCTAAAACTCAAAAATTAACGTTAGAGTTTACAAAATACTGTAGTTAATAAGCTCTGAAAAATCAATTACATGCATACTGTCTGTAGTTTATGCGAATAGTACACGTTAAAAAAAACCACTTTAACGGTTAAAAACGCTATAAATATCACTTAAACTTATTTGAAAATTACTGAGGAGACTGTCTCACCCACGGCTGCTGCAAAGCATCCGAAACGTAGGGCCGTAGTTAAAAATAATTTTAAAATAAGTTTAACTAAAATATATCGCATTTTAAACCGTTAAAGTGTTTTATTTATAAATTATAATTTTATAAATATAAACCCCATAATCCCCTACTCAAACAATTATCCTAAATTTAAATTTACTTGTTTTTATATACTTTATTCCAAATCACTAATCCCAAAATCATAAAAAAGGTTAAAATAATTTATTTCAAATCTATTTATAGATAAGTTAAAATCAAACTCAATAATCAATTACCATAAA